ATGTCTGCATTCTCCGCTACACAGATTTCTCTAAGGCTTTTGATAAAATTTCACACAATATTCTAATTAAAAAATTATCTTCTTTAGGGTTTCATTCGGTCTTCTTGCAGTGGATTGAATCATATCTGCACAATAGACGATGCGTTGTCAGTGTCGATGGAGTGTCATCTGATTCATTCATTGCGTCTTCGGGAGTGCCACAAGGAAGCGTCTTGGATCCACTTCTCTTTGTGCTGTTTATCAATGACATTTCCTGTCGCTTCTCTTTCGCTAACTTTCTATTATATGCAGATGACTTAAAAATTTTTTGCAATAATCAAAAACTCTCAAGATGTATTCAAACTTCAATGTGAGATTGATGCTTTTTATGATTGGTGCCTGAAATCGAAGCTTTTTCTGAATCTAGATAAATGCTCTCAGATCTCTTATGGTAAGGGACGTAACATCTTATCTACAAGATACAATATTTCTAATTGCGTCCTAAAATGTGTTACTGAAATCAAAGATCTTGGGGTAATCTTTGACAACAGATTTTCTTTCAGTAATCATATCAACTATATTACTTCTAAATAATTTTCTGTGCTCGGCTTTGTCCGTCGAAATGCTTTAAATTTTTCCGACCCCTACAAGTTAAAATTACTATATACATGCTTTGTTCGGTCCATTTTGGAGTACGCAGTGTTCATTTGGTGACCACATTGCATATCGTCAATTAATAGGATCGAGCGTGTTCAAAAGATTTTTCTTAAATTTGCTCTCCGCTCCCTAAAGTTTGTCGACCCCATACCATCGTATACGTCTCGTTTATTGCATTTACATCTTAAATTACTAGATAATCGACGGTCTGTTCTCTGTCTTTCATTTGTTTTCAATGTAATTAATGAGAATATTGACTGTCCCTATTTATTAGGGAAAATTAACTTCACTATTCCTCAGCATTGCCTCAAGTCTCATTCCATTATATTACAAATTCCATTATATTACAAAATCATTTCCCCATTATATTACAAAAAAGAAAGTACTAATTTTGCTGAATATGCTCCTCTCAAGCGTGCTATGCGTGAGTTTAACTCGATTTCCGAAAAAGTTCTTCTCGATTTTTCGCACTCTAGGGTATCTTTCATTAATACCCTCAATTCTGTTTTTTAATTTAAGTTATTTATCTATGTAATTGTAATTAAGTTTTTTTAGAGTTGTAGTTTGCATCCTAATTTCTCGACTAGTCTGTAAGAATTAATGTTCATAGACTTAAATAAATAATAATAAAAAGATCTTTCAAATCATATAAGTTATTTTAGTGGTCTCATTCAACTCCTTTGATGCTATTTGTAACTCCTCAATCGTACCGTAACGTCGTCACTTTGGAAAAAAAACAAGTCACAAGGGGCCAGGATTGGTAGAATACGTTACCTGCGGCACCATGAATTGTTTAAATTGTTTGTGGCTAATTATTTGTAACGATGCATGATCAAGGGTGTTATCCTGCTGCAAAAGCCAATTTTTGTTCTTTCATAAATCCGGGAGTTTCTAGCGGACCGCTTCGATTAAATTGTGCACAACTTACAAATTATTTTCTTTATTGACCGTACGTCTCTTTGGCAAAAATTTATGATGCACAATATCTTCGGAATCGAAGAAAACTATTAGCAAAATCTTCACATTTGATCTGTCCGGACGTCCGACATGCTCTTCGTCGTTGACACCTTCTCAACGCTCTGAGAACATTTTATTTCACCGATAAACGTTGCTTTTGTTCAGGATAGCTTCACCATATGTCACAGTCAACATTCGGAATCTTGTACAGGTTCTTTGATTCATTTTTAGAATAAGCCACAAACGAAGACGAACTTAAACGAGTCAAAGTAAAACCGCTGCCAAAAATTAATTATACGTTTCAAATGGTCGACCTTGTCAGCATACGTAAGGGATTTTAAATTGTTTATTGTAATAAGTGACTTTTTTCGAGGTCCAAAACGGTTCGTCGAGCGGTTGTATGTTTGATGATCAAGTGAAGGTAATTTCCTTTCCATTCAGTATATCCAACAGTACGAATTCTTACACATTCCGTCTTAGCATGGAATTCGCATGCACCATCTTCGTATATTTCAGTTATACCATATCGGTTTCAGCAAATTGGTAGTGAAGCGACTTTATCGTTTAAATATCTTTAAACCTCATGTGATGGACCATTTCTTCTGATACAATTTCGGTCAACACTTCAAGCTCTTTTCATTCATGAACTGAAATTGTTACCCAGTCAATAGAAAACTGTTGAAATTCACCATACACAAAATACCCGATTATTGTGGCGATGATTTTATACAACAAATTCCTATTAATGTTTGTTTAAATTTCAATATTTAATAATGCATCAACTTCTTTTTCTTACAGCCATACACAATTGGCATGGTGATGTTCGTTTTGGTCTGGCGCTCGACGTGGGTGACTCCGTGGAAATTCTAGAAGAATGCAAAAACTGGTATCGTGGCACATGTGCGCGAAAGTCCCGCGCTGTTGGCATCTTCCCTAAAACCTATATACACATTAAGGATCTGTCGAAAATCGATCCAGTAGTCGGTGAATGTACACAAGTCCTGCGTGAATGGTCGGAAATATGGAAGAAACTTTATGTGGTTTGTACAAAGAAGTACAAAAATAAGAAACAAAATTTGTTTAATGATTTATTTCTATAATTTTATACTCTAAAGGATCGAGAAACGTACAAATTTCACACATTACGCAAGGTAATGTTGTCCATCTTGGAGTGTCGACGTGAGCTCTTAGGTGCCACATTGACGCAGGACCAAACATTGGAATTGCAAACATTGGTTGTTTCACGCATCGATTGGGGAAATCGGTAAGTGATGGCTCAAGATTAAATGCTTGAATAAGTATAATTTCCCTATATACATATCTTAAAAAAAAAAAATCACGTGTCACGTTGTTTGTCCGCGATGGACTCCTAAACTACTGAAGCGATTTTAGTAAAATTTAGCACGTTGTGTCCAGTTCGTGCCAACTTAGAAGATAGGATGGTGAAAAACATGCATATATAAAAAATACAGTGAAAGCTCTATTAAGAAAGACTGGTAACGAGTCATTGATAAAGCAGCCTTAAATTCGTTATTTTTTTCAATATAATTTATTTGTATGAACATATTCTAAATTAAATCTCAACTACAATCCTTTGGATTCCTATATCGACAAAAACGGTTTCGCCTTTATTCGTAAATAAAATTTTCACTRTATTGAATAGTTTATGACATGAATAATAGTATAAAATGTATACCACAGCAACGCGTGTCTGGATCCAGTAGTATTATATATAAAATATAAGTTAAACAAACTTCTCTGAAACCTTTTCTAATGCTCATTATTTGAAATGGTTTTATAAAAGGCGAAAATAAATTTCTATACCCAACCCAACCTTTTTTAGTCTTTCTTTAAAAGAAAGCGCTGCAATGAAGGCTATATTTTTTCCAAATTCACCACTAGATAACGGTTGTGCGCATAATTTATTTTAAGCTTTTATATTCTTTAAAATTTGATTACGATATAGACCCGCGTACTTATGATGAATATACCGGTTGTAGTTATAGTGATTCTCCAATTTATGAGTAAAATCAGTAAATCATTTACCAGCAGGATCTAAAACAGTGAGGAAAGTACTATAACTTACGGGGTGCTCTTGATAACGTTTTGGGCCATCATTATACTATCAATACCACTACAATCATTCTGTCACAAGGAAGACTATATATGAGTCCTTTCAATTTTGATTCCACCTTAAACTTTTCGAGTGCTTTATTAAGCGCAATCTGGCGCACATTATTAAAGGCCTCTTTGGTGAAGAAAAAAGTACCTACTAAATTTCTTGTGCATAGGCACTAGAGCGCGCAAAAAGACAATGATCCGAAACATAGGAGCAGATTCTGTACTCTATGGAAACATGGAAACCATATTCTTTCTTTAGATTGACCGTCACAGTCACCATATCCTAACCAAAAATCTCTCAATTAGAGATAATTAGAGCAGCCGCTTCACTGACAACTTTCCTTTTTACAAAGAACTCGCACATAAGTGCAGACAAATTGTCCACAGTGCGACTATCTCCAAGTGTGGTTTTCTACTTTTTTCTTATACTTGGAACCGAGGACAATGATAGAGTACTGCTCAGAGTCTTCTATACACTCTGTACACGTCGGATAATATGAACTTAAGTTATTACGATATATGTTTAGGTATCTTCTAAAGCACTTATTGCTACTGAGTATTTGGGTTAAGCGAAAATTCAGGTCCCCATGTGGTCTATCTATCCACAAATGTCTGGAATCAGTCTGTAAGTCTATGTACTGCGTTAGTTGGTCTAGCAAATGATTTTATGTCTAGCGCCTGTATCCATATCGGAGACGCATACAGTATTAACTGAACTCATTAACTGAGCTATAAAAAACTTTTTCTTATTTCCAAAGAATAAATATAAGTACTTTTTTTTCAAAAAACGAATACAATTTCTCAATAAGCACAATAGCTGTTGATTATCGCTTCATAAAATAGAAAAATTTATTTAAAGAAGTCTCCCTAACAATCACAATATTCGCATTTTCGTACAAGAATTTCTAAACTTTAGCTTATCTAAACACTTTATCAAAATACAAATTATCAAATGTATACTAATTGTATTCTTTTTTTTTTTTTTTGTTTTTTGTTTTTTGTTTATGTTAATTTTTTTAAGATTTAACTTAAACAAATTTGCAGTTTTTAATATTTTCATATTTATGTATGTATGTATGTATGTATGTATGTAAAAGATCATTCAAGTAAAATCTAAAGGCTTACAGTATTTAATTTATGTACTAAAAAGTCATATAAGTATATAAGAAATGCGCATATAAAAAGTTTAAAGTTATGAACATGGAAGGAGGGAAATGTGGCTTATACAATTGATCAGTATTTTATAATTATATTATAGCAAGTATAAGTGCTGCGCGTATTGGACAACTTTAGTTATGGTTTTAGATAATAAATTCTATAATGTTTGTGCTTAGCTTATTCGCGTGTGTGTGTGTGTGTGCACACGATCTTGCAAAAGACTTGCAAATGGAGAAATTGCACTGTTGCGCAGACGTTGTGTGTTGGCAGTTATTATTAATTTTTTGTATTATATTTTATTTTTGTTTTTGTATTATATATATTTTTGCTTGGCACATTTGTATGCTTTTCGGTGTTTTACAATCGAAGTACTGTTAATTTTATGTTTTAAAAATTTGCTGCTTTGTCATTATTTTGAGAGACACCGTATTTGCCGTTATTGCTGTGGTTGTCTGTCTCTCGTTATTTTATTTATTTTATTTCTAGTAGAGCGCAGGTGCATTGTATGGTAGTAGTTGGATGTTTTCGTGCATAGTATCCAGCTGACAGTAAACAGCAGAACGCCGAGCACTGACTGTCCTTAGCATTTTCGCTTTCTCATCAGATTTTTGTATATGCTTGCCCGTGTGTTTTTGTAGTTTTTGATTTTTATTGGCATTTTAACTTTCTTTTCGTGAATTGTTTTGTTTTATTCCCCGTTTTTTGTTTGCACTATTTCGCTCCCGTCCGCCAACTGTGCATTGATTTATGTCTCGGTCTCCTTGCCGAATCGATCTACTTGCGGATACATGGGATGCATCTCCAAGGTGGATGGCGCCGATGGCGAACGTGAAGCGCCGAGTGCGAGGCAAAGCTCCTGCACCAAGTCACAGTAATACTTTGTATTGATGTTCTGTCCCAAAAAGTGCAAAACCAAGAAGTCGCCAATCTGCGGAAATGCAAAAATAAATAATTTAATATTAAATCGTATAAAAAATATATATGTATACGGGTCATGCCATCCAAAATATATATTGACATTTTTTTTTGTGCAAACATTATTTTGAGCATTGAATTTTAAAAATGCATAACCTCAAAATTTTTAAAGATGTGTCGAATTAAAAAAACTTTTACAATATTTTTGCTCAAAGCAAAAAAGCAAAAATTTTTGCTCGAAAAAAAATTTTACATTCACATTTTGTACGGCATGATCCATATACATATGTTATATAACTGCATTCTCCACAACTCACATCCAACTGGCGTATCAAATATTGGATTTCCTTGTGCTGTCCCGTACGATAAGAGCGTTTGATTATCGTTTCGCGTGTTGTCGGCATCATTATAACGGTAAGTGAGTAAATTAAAGCCAAGCCAGAGAGCACGGACAAAATGATGAACCAGAACCTACAAATCAAACATATTTTTTTGTTTTTCAAAACCGCAAACCAAAACACCAACAACAGCAACAGCTTACCACAAGAAAATGTAAATTTTCTCATTCAAAATATTCAAAGCCAACACACACAACGTGTCGTGCGTCTGTGGTGAACCGCCCGGGCCGAATTTGCGGAAAGTACACTTCGTCAAACGTGGAAAGATTTCAATCATCGGATCAAAACGACGCTCCTGATCCATATTTGAGAACTTAATCACATCGGTGCCGTATGTCATGAAAGCGCCACCCAAAAATTTATCCACCAAAAAGATATTCAACACAACATTGGCGAAATTCAAAGCCTCGCAGAAGTAGTAAGCAAATGAGTAACTGCTATGCGAATTTAAGCTCTGCTTCAAGTATTTTATGATGCGTTCTTGCCGATCTTTGCGATAATCTTCGGGCATGGTAATGAAACCGCGTAGACCCTCGGTGATGTTGCGCATTTTGCCATCTTCCAGATTCTTCCAAATCCAATGCGGTACATAGAACATGAGTCCCTAAAATAATGAAAAATGTGAATTAATTTGATTTTCACGCGTAAATTAGTCAACAGTCTCACGCACCTGGAAGAACAGCACAAATGGCACCCACTGATAGTAGCTGTGGTAACGCTTCTCTTGTCCATATTCATTGCCCAGACCGTGCGCTGCGACATCTGTGCCAATTTGACGATGCTGCTGACCGGGTATGGTGAATGTGTACGTGATCCAACAGAATGTGTTGATGACATGCATTGGTATGGAGCCGTCATTGATGCATGCAATGGGATCGCCTGTAAGCAGAAATTGTTTTATTAATTTTTTGTTGCCATTTTTCTTATAAAATATGGTCGTAAATTTGATTTTTAGCGCGTTTTAATGATTAGTATTAAGCCGATGTATAAAAAGTTTCATAACTTCCCTCTCTCACGCTTATCTTAGGAAACAAAGATAAAACTACCACGAAATAATTAAAAGTATATTAATACAGTTTATGTACCTTATATTATCAATGTTTAGTGACTGGAAATTATTTTGCTGCAACAGTAGCAGTTAAGAGGAAAGAGACCTGAGGAGGCTTGAGATTGATGTGATCTCTACAAAAATTTAGTTTGAGAAGCATATCGCAGTGGAAGCACTTTCTAGTGTGTTTCAGTTCATGTTTTTGCAGCGAGCAAAAATTCTTCTTATTATTTCGTTCAGTGGCATGTGGTTTGGACATATTTATATCATCCGATTCGGTTTAAAATCTTGTTTTTTTTGTAAAAGTGCGTTAAATAAGCATCAAGTAAGTATATTTTATTGTATTCTCGAGCGATCCGATTTAAACATGTCCGTCTGTGACGAAAAGTCCCTCAGTTTTTTAAATATCGATCTGAAATTTTGAACACGTGCTTTTCTCCTGAAAAAGCTGCTTATTTTTCGGAATTTTCGCATATAGCAACCATACAAACTGACCAATCAAAAGCAAGCTCTTGTATGAGAAACTCTTTTATTTGTAAATATATCTTCAGAAAATTGGGCAGGGATTTTTATCCTAGGTAACGATAGAATATCCGAAGAAATTGAAGAAAATCGGATCACTATAGCATATAGCTGCGATACAAACTAACCGATTTAGTTAGTTTCATTTTACTCATTTGAGATTAGTTTTTTCTCAATTTTTATCCCATACTTGACCTAAAATTATTACAGATTTATGCGACCGCTCCATTCAATAAGCTGTGAGTATATATGTATATATGTACATATTTATATTTATATCGCCCGCTGCGTCGGCTAATATCAACTCGTATTTAAATTTCAAGCAGCCGCTGTGATTTAATCCGCCCACGCGGCGTCATTAGGAAGCGTGTGATTAGGCTAAGCTGAGCTTGAAACGATTTACGCGTAAGGCTTCAGAAGATTTATATTAACATGCTCAATTACACATACCATATACATAATGTATGTATGTACGAGGCAAGTGCAAAGGCTTTTAATATTTAATCATGCCATATAAATATGGTTTTAATATACATATGTATTTGTGAGTGTTGTGTAAATACCAGACTTGAAACTTATACTTGCATAATCGCTGATTTTTATAAAAATAGTTTATAATAAAAAAAAATCATTAAGAACGCTTGAGCTTAAGACAGCAGGCGCGTTTTTAGTTGTATATAGTGCATATCTGCATATAGTGTATATGTATATTTGATACATAAAGAGATTTGTACTTAATTCCATATTTAATTCAAGATTTTAATTGCCTGTTTATAAACATTTTGTGAATTTGTTTAATTTTTTTTTTTGTCTCCTATTTACATACTAGTTCAACTGGCAAGCTCTAGGCAGATCTCAGCTCAAAGCGCATTTAGTTTGAGAATTTTTGGTCTTTGTTAACGAAATACTATATTATATAATTTTTTG